TTCTCAATTCAACATTTGGAAAATTAGTGAAAAACATGTCTGTCCTATCCCAGTCTTGAAGCTAGCACGCGCAACTTATAGCAGGCCCTATTCAAAACGTCACTTTCCTAATAAGATTATTTTTTAAGATTATTTAATCACTCATTTTATATAATGTCATCACCATCATCCTCCCGTAACCCTGAGTGTCTTAGGGTCACCAGTTGCCGTAGAATGTCTGATCAGCCCTGGCGTAGCGGCTAGACGCTCGCCTGCGGATGGGAAGGTCGTGGGTTCGCTCTCTGGCGAAGCCGAACTTTTAAAAAAAATGACATTGACTCCCAGGTCGACCCAGCCTTGAGTGGGTACAGGGCGCAGTCTCTGAAAGTAAAGGCGGTCGGCGTGATGCTGAACACATCAACCATCTTGTTCCGATTGGTCAATAAAAAATTTAGGTCCAGCCCTATACGCCTAAAGGCGTGGAAAAGGGACCTTTACTTGCGCCATTGGTGAAATTTTCATATCTGGCTACTCCAGGTTGCACCGCCTTGTCCACCAACCTGGACAAGGATACCTGCTTGAGCCAGCTATGACTTCCCTCTTATCAGCCGCTGATCCTTAACTGCACCCAGAGCTTCGTGCAAATGGTGGTCTGTGTCTGCAGCTGCCCTGAGATTTGACTTCGCCTGCAGCACCTTTGCCTACCTGCAACAGTCGGCAAACTAAAGATGTATCGCATACTCACCACTGGGGTGTCCCTTGTGCTACCCAGAATGAACCGCATAGTTGCGTTCTGTAAGCGCTCTAGTTTGTCCATCTGACTCTTTGAGACGGTAAGCAGTCCCAGGCCATAATCAACCACTGACAGGATTAGGTACTGATATAGTGTGAAAAGCATTCTCTGCTCTATGTCGATTGCAGCCATAGTCTTAAGTGCACTAAGTCCTTTTTGGCATCTTGTCACAACACTCTCCACATGGTCCTTAAAGGACAGGCTCCTGTCAAATGTAATTTCCAGATACTTCAGTTTGCTATCTCTGTTGACTTTTCTGCCATTCTATCACGAGACTTGGAATATTAGCTTTAACGATCCTGTTGTCCGGAGAACACCACAAAACAGACGCCTTTTCAGGGTGGACGACAGCCCTCATTTCTGTACACCACTCAGACACTTTACTGTCACTTGTAGCTACTAGGCTGTTTGTTACCTCTCTCCCCCCTGCCCTATTTGCAAGTATATCATCAGCAAAAGTCAGTATCCAACTCCTGGTGCTGCTAGGCTTGCAATCTTGCTCGTATACACCTTAATGAGCACAGGCGAGATGGCGGATCCCTGTGGCAGTCTTAGGGCCAAACTGCATGGTTCTGAGGTCAATGAGCCCAGCCGGAGAGGTTCCTGACGTGAATACACAGGCCAGCTGCCCTATTCACCAGCCATGGACTGACCTTCTTTTTCAGTGCAGTCATCAAGATGTCATATCTTACTCTGTAATAAGCATCCTCAAGATCCAATGCCGCCATAGTTTCCTGTTTGTTCTGGAACCCTTCATAGACGTCAAAAGCAAAAGTGGCCGCATTTGCCAAAGTGTCCTTTCCTGGCCTGTAGCTTCCCAGACCTCTTAGTAGGAGCTTCCCCCTTTCCCAAATTCTTGCAGCTTTACAGCAACTATCTTCTCCAAGACCTTCCCAAATGTGTTTTGTAAGGTAATGATTCTAAAGTAACTGAGCTTTAAATGATCCTTAAAATGCTTTGGTAGTGGGATTAGATAGCCGTGCACCCAGTCCTGCGGTACTGATATACCAATTAACGCAAAGCCGTCCTATCTGTTGTTATCTCAGTTCAAATTCTTCCCTATCTAATACTTCTTTTCGATAGCCAGTCTCTTCTTATTTCATTTTTATGTCTCCTGATTTGGTTTCCAGTCGATTCCAGTGAAAGAAAAACACATTCTAGTCATATTAAAATCAGATTTTCTCAATGTGCGTCTCATCTTAAAAAAAAAAAAAAATTACAATCCGGTTCAAGTAACGTTTTTCGCTGCAGAAAGAGAGTGACTTCCCTTCCCATTCATGCCTCGTCGCGTCACAGGGCCTTTCCCATATTGCAGGCTTGTTATGATATGGCTTGGTTCAGCGTTCGCTTGTTGTATATAATGTTTGTGGGAGTTTGTGTTGTCCAGTGTCCCTTTGAGGCACCACAGGCAGTGAACAAGTAAGAAGTACTGCAGAGGGAAGGGTCGCTAGTGCCATTCGTGAGTATCGAGACTCTGGATGTTTTTGTATTTCTATGTTCATTGGCGGTGGCTTCCCCCCGAGACAAAGAAGACACTAAAAAGGAACGTAGGAATAGAAAAACATTGCAGTTTGCATACTGCCGAACAGTTTTGCAGGTAGCAGAAGACAAAAATAATCACGCAAGTGAGCAGTTAGACCATAAGAAAAAGAGGCAACAGTTAAGCGTTGATACTAAGGAAAACGTGACACCCTCTCAACAGGAGAGGCCCTGCAACATGATGAGGCATGAATAGGAAGGGAAGTCACTCTTTCTAAGGCAAAAAACTTTGCTTGTACCTATAATCCTTACCCTCTTCCTTTTAACCAGAATTGCAGTCTAGAAAAAAAAAATTCATATCCCCAAAACAACCATTGGCACATTTATACTGGGACAACACAAAACTATTATGGAGTAACCAGTAGTCCAGTGTGGGTCTCATATCCAGAGCTGGCGTCTTTATATCGCTGTTAATTTGCGGGAGGCGTGATGCTGACCACATCACCCATCTTGTGTCAATTGGTCTATAAAAATATAGGTCTAGCCCTATATGCCCCATACGACTCAAGGTGTGGAAAAGGGTCCTTTACTATTTTTTTTTTAAATTCGCAGAAATTTGTCCATCTCTGTCTGTCTGTCATCAGCTATTCATTCATGAGTTGATTCTGTATAGATTCTCTCTTAGACATGTAGTCATATTTGTAGTTGATTTGTTAATATGGACACAGTCTTCAGAAGACAGAAGGAAAATAGTCACGACAGAAATGAAATGTTTACATACTATGCAGGCGTAATGAGAAAAGATCGACTTAGGATCGATGATATATGGAGGAGAGTTGACACAAAACAAATACCAAACTTTATAGGTAGACAACAAATCAGATGGTTTGGCCATGTAACAAGATTGGCATCAGACAGGGCCCCACAGAGAGCAATGTTATACAGATACACTGGTAACAGAGCCACAGGTTGACTATGCAGAACATGGACCAAATAAATATCAGAGACACTGAAAAGTACTTTATATATAGTCAACAGAAGGGCCCGTTCCAGATATCTCTTCCTGCCCTGACGCCACGAGGCATTCCAGGAGCAGATAAAAGTTAACGGTTCTATTCAGCGTTTTTATCCCATCTCGTTGGCTGCAAGATTTGATAGGGAATTCCTTGGTAGTTCCCCAGAAAGCCCTATTGTATGGTGGTGGGGAGTTAGGGTTAGTGTCAGTTGGTGTTCATTTAACAGTAACCCTTCGACACTATAACTGCTTTATTCTTGGTGTGTCATGTGTTAGTTATTTTCAGAGTGTTTATCCTTTGAGTGATACAGTCGTTTGTTCGTTCGTGAGCATCATTGTGCCCTGTTTGCAAGCGGTGTTCTTACTTCGTAGCTTCGCCTGTGCCGTGAATTTCCTTGAACTGTCAGAATTCCTGCACCTAATTTTAAACCTAACTGACGCGTATGCATACATGGAGACTGTCTCTCTTTTTTCAGGGCGCTCCGCTGTTGACACCCCAAGATCGCCCTTTTCATGATCCGCCCCAAAATATTCCCAATTTGCATTGCCCCACCACCCCCCCCCCCCCCCCCCATTTTCAGTACTATAGGAATTTCTGGGACACTGCCAAGGAATTCTTACAAAATTTCGCTGCCAACGAGATAGGGTGGAAAAGCTGAAAAGTATCAAGTTAACTATCGGTTACTACATTAAATTTTCTTTGACGTAAAGCAAATAAGCCATTTCACGCCACAGTGTCATACCATGAAAGAACACTGTAGCTCCAGCAACAATCCCCAAAAGTCTCTGTAAAAGTGTACTCATGAAATGAACGACTCAAACGTGAAATGAACCTACGACCTTCAAAGTGCGAGGCAAATGGCTTGTCCACTTCGCAACAGGGACATCATGGGGATTAGGTTCAAATCTAGTGTATTCTATAGAACAGTCATGTCAAACTGAGGGCCACACACTGAAGTCATGTAATAAATATTATTGCAGAATAATTTTAATGAGGTCACAAAGCTAGATCGTTAAAGAAGAATCCCAGTGGTGTAGCAACTAGATGCTTGCCTGCGGATCGAAAGATCGTGGGTTCAGGTCCTGGCGGAGAAGGACTTTTTTTCAAAAAATGACTTTGGCTCCTAGGTCAACCCAGCCTTGAGTGGGTCTCAAGTGTAGTCATGGGAAGTGAAGGCAGCCGGCCTTGTGTTGACCATATCAGGCATTGAATGTCAACTGGCCAATAAAATATTGGTCTAACCCTAAAAGGCATGAAAATGGGTCCTTTTCTTAGATCTATAAAATGGATGTGCATGCAAACTACAAGTTCTGAAAAATGACTTAAGTCTAGAAGTGGATGAACAACCAGAACTTTCAGTTGGAGTTTACAGCTGGTGAACAACATGAAGAAGAAGAAAAACTTTCAAAGTGCTTAATACAAGCTGACAGGTGAGCTATGGTCCATCACTGGAAGTGAAAAGTAGGAGAAGAAGAAGAACCAAAAGAAAAGGACCAAGATGAAGAAGAATAAGAAATAGAAGAATAAGAAGCAGAAGAAGTCTAGAGTCAAGGTTAAGAGAAGAAGAAGAAGAAGAAGCGGAAGGAGGATGAGAAGAAAAAGAAGACAATGAGGAAGAAGAAGAAAGTTAAACGCATCAATTAACAAACAATTTTAAGTTAAATAATTTATTGTCAGTAACACTGAAAACTTAATATTTTCATAACAGAGATTTTAGCTGGAGAACATCTGGCTTAAAACAGCATAGAGTGGAGTGATTTTCTCATATTGGCCATTTCCTGTTGTTGCTGAAAAGTAGGAAAGAAATACTTGTATTCATAACATGTTAATCTTAGACCCCTAATACCAAGGTCAAATTATATATAACGCTGATAAGACCAGTTGTTCTATCTGGCTCTTAAACTTGGAACACAATCAAAAGATAATAAGCCTTATTATAAGCCAACTTATCGTGCCTGACTACTTTGATCTACGACAAACTGCCATTCTGGTGGGGACCGTTGGCTCTGGCACCTCCAGAAACTGCCATAAGCATTTACTGGATTGTGTTAGGACTAACTGTTTGTTCACCAGTTTTTCAAATGAGACTGTGAGGGACGTTTCATTTGATTTTCACTGGCACAGGAACGAGGCAAGTATGGGGTGTCCCAATTGCAGTGAAGTTGAAACCTCGACTGAGACTAAGACCACGCCTTATTACAAATTTTTGAAAACTTCTTACGGTAAATACTTGGAACCATCAAACATGCAAACAGCAGGGAATGGAGAGTGGAAAGCAACAACGAAATTCAAAATCTGTTTACATCACCACTGATCACTGGCATAATGAGGGCTTTCTGAGGCATAATATGAGAATATCAGATGACATAAAGGCAAAAACTGTGTTCATGAGTGAGCTGAATGGTTGCAGACCATGAGGCAGATCAAGAAGACGGTGGAAACATAATATACAGGCAGACCTGCAAACACTTGTGAGTCTCCATATGGAAAGAGAAGACTAATTACAGAGATGAATGGAGACAGGTGACATCTGTAGCAATGAACCTCGTGGGCTCAGAATTTTGAAGATGATGCCAGACAACCACTGGTATCAACAGTTATAACACAAAGAAGACGGTGCTGTACTGGGCACATCCAGAGAAGAAGCGAGCAGAGAATCACCAAACAGGCAGTGAAATGGGAAACAAAGGGACTCAGGAAATGAAGGGTTGGGATTGGTTACCATCATCATCATCATGTAGCCGGTCCTTTGCAAATTTGCATCTTCTCATCATGGTCTGCCTGAAAGAAACCTTTTCTCACATTAGCTCTCATACACTTTCCTACCCAAGATGCTTCTTGTATTCTGTGTCCATCTTCCTGCTGGTTGGTCACGACCTTCTGTAAATAGCCCTAATCCTAACAGCATTTAATCAATGAAAGAGACAATCATGATTTGTTTGGTCAGGTTATGAGATAAGGGAAAATGGATCCTTTCTTGACCATTGGAAAGATCTATATAAAGAGAGACAGAACACAACATAAGAGGTTTCTGGACTGCCTGTATGTAAGACAGACTTACAGTGTCCATGAGAATGCGTTTCTGCAGTAACTGCATCTCCTTTTTCAGTTCTGCTTGAAGAGATGCTTGCTGACTCTGTCGATTACTTTCAAGTTCTTCCAGGCCCTGAAGACAGAAAAGGCATAACTAGACCCTGTGTAAGTGAGATTTAAGGGTGTTACATCAGGCACCATCAGTCTGGGAACTTCACTGGCTGCTGAGAAAGAGGATGGAGCACCTACGGGAAAATCCAGAGTGTGTTGATGTTTGCTCATTTATCCAAGTAGGGGGGCTGCATGGTCTTGAGGTATGGTGTCCGCCTCAAGTGCTAGAGGTTCCGGGTTCAATGCCCGGTAAGGGCTGGGATTTTTTTCACGTGGACTTGGACTTCTTTTAATTCCCCCGGCTCTCTGGGTAGTGAGATCGGACGCCTGTGTGTAATGTTGCATGCGTAAAAATTCCCTTGGCAGTTGGAAATCGAAAAGAGTAGCCTAACGGCGCTGCAAAAGTAAAAATTTGGAGTTTAAAATCTACCCGAAGTATTTCAGGATCCTCGCCGGTACTACTGAACCTGTGCACTGTGCTGAGCTTCTTCGGGCTCAGATTTGAGTTAGAAGAAGAACAAATCACTTATGGGTTACTACCCGTGTGCCATGATGTGATCCGTTGTTGAAACCTCAAGCCTTATTTATCCAGGTGACAGGAGTTGAACCCTCTTACAATTTTTAGGGTATTCCCCCCCCCCATTTTCTGAGGGCTAAAAGTGCTTAAGCCCACGGTGCACACTGGCTCTCCCTGGTATACAGTACTGCAATGGTTAGAATTCTTTCCAGCCAACCTATGTTCAAATTTCACTGGTGCGGGGGAATGTTAGACATTAACCCCGGTCGTCTGTCTCTGGACAGTCCAGATAGAAATGGTACTCCTCCCACCCCCTTTCTCTCCCCCCCCCCCCCCCAAAAAAAAACACTCTTCTGGGAAGTGAAAACATTCAATGTCACAGTGGCCTCACTGTCCATCTTTCAAGTTCTTCGTATTATCAGATTACCACTACATACCCAAAATATGAAAACTGGTCACTTGCTTTTGGTTTTTTTAAATGTTTTTTTTTTTAAATATAAGTTTTAATAAATAGTGTAGAATGCATAATGAGAAGTAACAATGTATGTATCTCATTCATCTTGTGTATGCAGTTTTTGTCTCTCTGTTATCTACCATTCTCCCTATATGCCCTAACCACAGCCGTTAGCTCTCATGATGCCAGTAATTAGTGGTGATTTAAACAGACTTTAAGTTTCACTGTTGCTTCTCACTCTCCATTTTCTACTGTTTGAATCTTTGGTGGGTCCCAAGATTTGGTGTAAGACAGGGCTACACTGTGTGAAGAAAATATTTCTGCCAATGCTGATAACTGTACCTGAACCACTGCCTCCACAGGAGAGGAGACCAACAATTTTACCACTGTGGTTTTACCTGAAACACCTTTTAACCCTTTCACTCTCAAAACCTGAAAAACTGACATTTCAAGTTGTGTCAAATTCCCCTAAATGTCACTTTCCCAACTTGCCTATAGTGATCTGTTTACAAGGCATGTAGTTATTTTTACTGGCTGAGTTTGCACCTGCCCAAAAATTTAGGAGGTCAGGAAATGAATACATTAACTAACAATAGCATTTAAGGGATTTTTTTGGGGAGCTAAATGGCTTTTCAGAAATTTCCCCCCAAAATGTTAAAATGTAGATACAAAATTTGTAACAAATTTTTTATATTTTTTTTTCAGGGGTCTTGTATTGAAAGGGTTAAATACACTTTCGTGGATAAAAAATGTTTTTTAGAAATGAAAAAACAATAACATATAAACGGCACAAATTCTGGACACACATTAACTAGTTTAACTTCTATACACGAGGGCTGTCCTTCAAAATTTGCTAATCAGGTACGTACATAATTTCTCTAGTGTATATGTGCTACATGTAAGATATTCTGTATGCACTGGAGTGCATCTAGGAGGATACTAGCTTTATCCTAGGAAGAGGAAATGCAGCCGGAAAACTCAATATTATGACAGGGCAGACCAGGCCCTAAGCCTTGGTTGGCAGCTAGTCTAGAAGAGCAACTCTGAAAGGCAGACAAACAAGCACTGCTCTTCTTATCTGGCAGCTTCTACAGCATTATTTGGTGCAAACATATCAGTTTTACCTTTCCTGTGCAGTAAACAAGGCAGGCCAAGCGAGGGATCAAGCTGCATGGGGCAACAAATGGTCTCTACAACACTGCATAGGCTTTATGCTATGGATCCTGAAATCTTATGCTCTTATTGGGGAACATTCTTCTTAATATGAGCTGGCTTCACTAGACTCAATCACCACTGGCTTGAGCTATGATTCCCATGCCTCTCTTGTCAAACAATATAACTCTCTCATCTGAAAAGACACAAAAGTGCCAAAAAAAAAAAATATGTGTGCTACAGTACCTTGATAAACTGCTCACAGAGTTCCTTGACAGTTTTTAATCTTTGACACTGAACAATTCTCGACTGTTGGAATAGTTTCTGCTGCTGCTTGAACAGTGTCTGCAATTTCAGCATATGTTTATATAGAAACATACACACATAGACTACCCTGTTGGTATTCTTAGCTGATATTATAATCATTAGATGTAACACTCCCTGTGTATGTTACAGGGTCCCATTCTGGCCCAAGTTCAGGGGCCAGGTTAGCGCAGTCGACAGAAGACTCACTTTCAAATCCAGCTGCGACTGGCTGCAGCCTACAGCCAGTGTTCAAAACTGGACGGTGCCCGGGGTTCACCCAGCCTCTAGGTAATGGGTACTAGAGTTAACACTCTGGGGTAAATGGATGAACGTAGCTGTAGCTATGGAGTTGCATACGGACAACGACACAGGCAGGCATTTTCTTAGTGCTGTCTGTACTGGTGGCAGAGCACTTATGGTTTATAGCTGTGTGCAATGACACCTCCCGACTTTTTTACCTCTTCTTCAAAGAATAGACCCACTGCCTCTAAAATAATTCTGTCCCAAACAACACATTATGCGTGACTGGGTATTATTTATGTGTATCTTCTTTGTTCATGGGGTGGAGTGATCGGGAGATATGGTGAAGATGTTTTGAATGATAATGGCAAGCGACTTCTCAGATTCTGCAGGGAACAGAACCTTGTCATTACAAACACAAAATTCCCCCACAAGCGTACACATGCATACACAAGATGTGAACCTTCAAAGAATGAAAAATCCATCATTGACTACGCCATAGTTAGGAAAAGTTCATTCAAGTTTGTGAGAGATGCCAGAGTCATGAGAGGACCAGAGATTGGAAGTGACCACTATCTGGTCACAATAAAGAGAACAACTGAAAGAACTGCTCCAACAAGGCAACACCGACAACTATGCAAGAAACCAAGCAACCAAGAAGGAATGAGGATTAAAGCATACAAGCTCAGAGAGCCAGATATTAAGGCTAGATACCAGGAGCTTATAGTGAAAGCAATAGGAACTGAAGAAGAATCATCAGAGGACACTGAAACTCTCTGGTGCAGATTCAAGAATATCCTCACAGCAGCTGCATTAGAAGTCCCAAGTGGAAGGCGGGGACACAGGACACCTTGATGGACAGAAGAAGTCAAATTGAAAATAGGAGAAAAGAAAAGGGCATGGAAGCAATACCTGGCAGCCAGGAACACAGATGAAGAAATAGAAAAATATAAACAATATGTGGCACTCAGAACAGAGACCAAAAATATTGTGCTTAAAGCAAAACAGAAATCATGGGAAGAGTTTGGAGAAAAGTTGGAAAAGAATGCAAGAGAAAACCAAAAACTGTTCTACAAGACCCTTAAGAACATGAGGAAGGAGAAAGAGTGCCCACTTAAATTCATAAAAGACAAGGAAGGGGCTCTGCTTACTTCTACAAATGATATCATGGGCAGATGGAAAGAATACTTCTCAGAGCTCCTCGGCGCTGAGGGAAGTCATGACCCAGAAATAATGGACCTCACTGCTGAGAAGGAATTCAATCATGGGGAAGATAACATCAGGATGGAAGAATTGAAGGCAGCTATTGAGAAGATTAAGCTGGGAAAAGCAGCAGGTCATGATGGTATAACACCAGAGATGGTCAAATATATGGGAGTCGAAGGTGAGCGCCTTCTACTGAAGGTTCTCCAGGCAGCCTAGTGTAGCAAAACTATACCAAAAGATTGGGAGATTGCCATCATTATACCTATATTTAAAAAAGGTGATAACAGACAATGTGAAAACCACAGAGGCATATCCCTCCTCAGCATTCCAGGTAAAAGTTACTCTAGAATTCTTGAGCAGAGACTTAGAAGTCTGGTAGAGCCACAGCTGGACGAGGCCCAGTGCGGCTTCAGAGCAAACCGAAGTACTCAAGACCTTATCTTCACACTGAGACAGATGAGTGAAAAAGCCCTGGAATATAAGAGTGAGATTCACTTATGTTTTTTGGATCTGGAAAAGGCATTTGACAAGGTACCCTGGAACAAGCTCTGGGACTGCTTGGCAGCGAAAAACATCCCAGCACCCCTGATCAGTGCAATACAGAGTTTCTACAAAAAGTGCAGAAATTATGTAAGAACAGCAGACCAAAAGTCAGAAGAATTTAAGACCACCAGCGGTGTTAGACAAGGTGATATTCTCTCACCTTACCTCTTCATTCTTATGATGGATGATGTCATCAAGACCTGTAAGGAGAAGACAAAGAAGTACTCTGTAGGGTACTGGAAGATGAGACCAATCTGTATATCAGAGCTGGCTTTTGCAGACGATGTGGCCCTGATAGCTAAATCAGAGGCACACCTTCAGTCCAACTTACTTGTCTGGAAGGAAGAGCTTGAAAAGAAAGGGATGACCATCAGTGTCTCCAAAACTAAAACCATGGTGATCTCAAGAGAGGAGAAGAAACACCAGATCATGATGGGTCAGTATGCGTTGGAGCAGGTTTAACCAGTTCAAATACCTTGGAGTTGTATTAGACCAAAATGGAGGCATTAAGACTGAGCTGGCTACACGAAAAGCAGCTGCTGGGAGACTCTTCCAGGCCATAAACCGAGGGTTTCTTAGCAAAAGAGAAATTGGCAAGAGGACGAAAATGGCTGTTTACCGCTCTACCTATGTACCAGTCCTGACCTATGGGTGTGAGTCATGGGCAATGACAACAGCTCACAGATGCCAGCTGCAGGCCTCGGAAATGAGATACCTGAGAAAGGTGGTCCAAGTGACAAGAAGGGACAAAGTCCGCAATCAGACAATACGTCAAGATCTTGATACCCGGCCCTTACTAACCCGAGTGGATCAGTCACAGTTACGATGGTTTGGACATGTGTGCAGAATGGGAGAAAATCGGCCACCATGGCAAGCATGGGAGGCTAAGAACCAGGGAACCAGACCTCCGGGACGACCCAGGGTGCGCTGGGAAGACAACATCCGACAGTCCCTGACTGACAGAGGACTGGAATGGAACAAAGCCAGAAAGAAAACTGCTGATAGAGACGTCTGGCGATCTCTCTGGCAAACCTCTACACCCCAAGGTAGAAGAGGAGCGACTAAGTAAGTAAGTAAGTAAGATCTTCTTTGTTCATCAGCTGCAAGCTCTGGCTGAAAATCCTGGTTCATCCATTTGGACTTTGGCTTTGTGCCAGGGCCTAAAGTTTGTTTGTACATCCGTTTTACTGGCTTATTTGTTTGCAGTTAGTTGTTCCTTGCCGCTTGGGCAGATGCACTCCGACTTCGAAGGAATTCCCCAATTAGTTGACTCCTACAACATGCTTGTTGGAGAGGCAGTAAGTCTATTCTTGTTTTCCCAACAATGGGGTCCCGAAACCAACTAAAGTCCTGTAGTGGACGAATGACCAGAACTCTCTGTTGGAGTTTACACCAGTGATCGCGACAAAGAAGAAGAAGAATTTTTAAACTGACTAGTATTCCACTTACATTCAGTTTCTCCTCCTGTTCTTTGATTTTGTCTATGTCCAATTCCCATTGTTGATAGACAGAATTCACTTGTTTACTAAACTCATCCTGAAGCTTGTTTCTGTGAAACAATGTTTAAAGCACACAAAAAAAGAAAATAATAATTATCATCAACAATAAGTAAAGGACCCTTTACATTCCAGTCTAGCTGCTACACAACCATGGCTCCCATCAACAATAAGTAAAGGTCCCTTCACATACCAGTCTAGCTGCTACACAACCATGGCTCCCATCAACAATAAGTAAAGGACCCTTTACATACCGGTCTAGCTGCTACACAACCATGGCTCCCATCAACAATAAGTAAAGGTCCCTTTACATACCAGTCTAGCCGCTATACCACCATGGCTTCCATCAACAATAAGTAAAGGTCCCTTTACATAACAGTCTAGCCGCTATACCACCATGGTTCCCATCAACAATAAGTAAAGGTCCCTTTACATACCAGTCTAGCTGCTACACCACCATGGCTCCCATCAACAATAAGTAAAGGTCCCTTTACATACCAGTCTAGCTGCTACACCACCATGGCTCCCATCAACAATAAGTAAAGGTCCCTTTACATACCAGTCTAGCTGCTATACCACCATGGCTCCCATCAACAATAAGAGCATAAACTTAAAAACTAAAGCTAGGCTGGAAAAGAGAAAAATGTGAAAACAAGTCTTTCACTTTCTGTTGTTATGTCACCTTTATGTCTTTCAAGACAGATAATGTTTCCCTGCATTGAGGCATGAGAAACACAGCCTATGGTGACAACAGTTAGTGCCAGGAATAAAAGCCTGTTCATTGTTCATTTTTAAGATCATTTTCAACTCATATCCGTCATGACCATAAGAGCTCTGATCTCCTGTTGATTATGTATCCAAGTGTTTTTAGGTTAACAACTCCCATACTGTTCTGGCTAATGTAACGACGGGTGGCTTCCACATGGTTTTCCTGGCTCCAACTGGTACACCCAGAGTATGCAGTCTATTCAGTGAAAAAACATTTTCTATGAAACTAAAAGCCTCATAGCGTTTAGTCTCTCGTATGGCAGTGATGATGTCTCTCCTGTGCATGGAGAGCCCATTCCTGTCAGTCGCACTGCCAGCCTGTGCAGTAACATTGAGACCATGTGTTGCCTCAGCCTTCCAATGCATCATCATCATGTAGAAAGTCCTTCGCAGAACATCACTCTCATCACGGTCTGCCAGAAAAAAAAAAAAAAAAAACTCAAGTCTCTCGCCAATTCTCCAACCTCGCACACTTTCACATCCAAGGAGTCATTTATATTCTGTGCCCTTCTACATACTGGTCGCCCCTGCCCCTCCTTCCTGGTACCATGCCTTCTGCTATTATTTTTTCCAGTCCGCCATGGCCTGTGATATGATCAAAGTATTTCAGCTTTCGAGTCAAGATGCTGTTTATTAGCCAATCTTCCTTGATATTCAGATCATTTAAACTGCCAGAACGCGTTAAACATCATCATCATCAGGTGCCTTGCCAACTGGCGTGGGCGATCATTCCTCTAAGCAATCCGCGATCCCCTGCAGCATGTATCAGTTCGTGTGCCGACACACATCCCTGCCATGCACCAAGACTGTCAAAAGAATCTTTTCTCGTCGTCTTCCTCTATCCCTCCTTCCACAGATCTTTCCAGTGGTCACATGTTCTATTTTCCCTCTTCTCATAACATGGCCGAAAAATGATGACTCTCCTTCTGATGTCTGTGATAAGTTGTCTTTAGGCTCCTGCCTCTTTCAAAACCTCTTGGTTGCTCTTTTTAGCTGTCCAAGGTATTCTAAGCATTCTTCTGTAAAACCACATCTCTGAGGCCTCAAAAAATTGTTTGGCATGCCTACCGATTGTCCAGAATTCACAACCATATGTTAAAACGGGATATATTTAGCAAGCAAGAATTCTTTTTCTAACTCTCAGTGACAAAGATATATTGCACAAGATGTTCTTCAATTTATAAAGTGCAGTTTTTGTCTGTCCTATTCTGTTTTTTTTAATCTCAGTTATGGATCTTCCATCTGATGTTATCCATGTGCCCGATACTTAAATTTCTGTACTTGCCCAAAATAACACCATCGACTTCTATTACACATTTAGGAATAATTTGTTTCGTTGATACCACCACCATTACTTCTGTCTTCTGACTTCCGGTTTAGAAATGGCAGCGTGAGGATGTGTTTGCGTCGACACTCGATTTTATTCTAAAATTTTCACTTAATCGGTGTTTTTCTCTTGATAACAAAGTGCGATTATTACGAATTCATTGACGATGGATATTCTCTTGTTCGTGGATACAAGTATTATGTGGTTTAGGGGTGATATAACGGAATTATTTCCACAAAATAGCCACGGCGGCGGCCGTGTCCTAATTCCGATAATGTAACCGCGTAGGAGCCACGCTCCCATTATAAACATGGGAGTCCACGGGTAAGACCCCAGTCTACTCTAGCAAAACAAGGTGCTGAAGTCGGAGGCAACCAGCCAGGAGGCGCACCACAGCAATCAGGATGCCACGCACAAACGCAACAGGGAATATTTCTATATCTGCAAATAAGTTTGATTTCCACCATGCGACCCACTCACGTGCACGTGGTTCGATTTACCGGCCTAAGACAAGAAGAAAGAGTCCAACTTCAAATACTCGAAGCCTCCCCCTAATGCCCTGTAGAACCAGAAAAGCAGAAAATACAGCTAGCCTTAAAATAATGCACTGGAACGCGGAGGGAGTACATACTAAGAAATTAGAATTAGAAAACGTCTTGAACGAAGAGAATGTACATGTATGCTGCCTACAAGAGACTTATCTCAAACAAGATATGGCCTTTAAGATCAGAGGCTACCAGTGTTTCCGATCTGACCGCAAAGACAGGAGAAAAGGTGGAATTCTTAACCTGGTCAAAAATAACATCCTTGCGGGCCGGATCGAAACATACATGGAAGGTGCTGAGTATCAAACACTTGACTCAAGTTAGAAAATACAGATTTACATCTGACCAACTATTACTGTCCGAGCGACCGCCCTCAGGCACTGGATACAGTACTAATAAATGAAAAAATGATCATTTGTGGGGATTTTAATAGCCATTCTCAAAGTTGGGGATATGATCATATGGACCAGAGAGGAGAGAAACTAGAGGACTGGCAGGATGAGAATAGGTTCATCCTCGTTAATAAGCCAACCGACCCACCAACCTTCTACTCTAGAGCATGGCATACCACCTCGACACCAGACCTAGCCTTTCACTCACCAGACATGGAACTGAATGTTACCAGAACTGTTGGGAAGCAACTAGGAGGCAGTGACCACCGGCCAGTCTTTCTAACTATAGAAAGCCAGTCTGTAAGAGAGAGCAGCACACTGCCAAGGTGGAATTTTAAGAAGGCAGACTGGAAGTTGTATCAGCTTCGCACAAATGTTCTGCTGGAAAATCTAAACACAGATAACGACGTAGAAAAAGTAGTCCAAGAGTTGAGCAAACGCATGCTGCAGGCAGCCCTAGAAGCAGTTCCAAGAGGTGCGCGTAAACAATACAAACCGTACTGGAATTGCGATCTGGAGCAACTGCACAACAATATGGAAACAGAAAGAAAACAAGCTGAGACCAGACCTTGTCAAGAGCAGTTTAACAACTACCAACATTCAAAGGCCAAATTTCAAAGAGCCAAACTGCAGGCTAGACGGGCAAGCTGGCAAGAAAAGACAAAGTCTCTAAACTTTGAAAGAGACACAAGGAAGTTGTGGAGGTTAATTAAGCAAATTAATGATGAGAATACAGGAAGAAATGGTAATATTGCACTATGCAAAGAGGGAGCCATCCTAACAAGAAAACAGGCAGCTGACCACTTTGCAGAAGACAGCAACATTAATGTCAGCCCAGAGAAACAGCGAGAGGTTCAAGAAAACAAACAACATATAAGACAAAAAGATATAATTCCTGAGGCACTGGTGGCAGCATTTACATCCAGCGAGTTAGAGTTAGCAATATCAAAGCTGAGAATGGGAAAATCACCTGGAATTGATGGTATCACCAACGAAATGATCAAGAACCTTGGAACAACTGCCAAAAAAAAAGCTGCTACAGATCTTTAATCATTGTTGGACCAGTGGCAAAGTTCCTCAAATATGGAGAGAAGCAATCACAATACCTCTGCTTAAACCAGGAAAGGACAGTTCTGATGCCTCCAGCTATAGACCGATCAGTCTTACCAGCTGCCTCTGTAAAACAATGGAACGTATTGTCAACCTTAGACTCCAATGGTACTTGGAAAGTGAAAACATTTTCACGCCGCAGCAGGCAGGATTTAGACAGTGCTACTCCACAGAAGACCAGACAACTTACCTTTCACAAGAAATTGAGGATGCCTTCCAGGAAAAGAAGCTAGTGCTAACGGCATGGATAGATCTGAAGAAAGCCTTTGACAAGGTCTGGAAAGAAGGTCTACTGAAGAAACTGAGAGACTGCAGGGTGAATGGGAGAATGTACAAATGGGTGAAAGCATACTTGTATAACAGAAGATCCCGAGTACAGATAGATGGACTTAAGAGTAAGAAAGTTTTGCTGCGCCATGGCGTCCCACAAGGAGGTGTTCTGTCCCCCACACTCTTCCTAGTCTATATCAACGACCTGCTTTCTGAACTACCCCATGGAATTAAAGCTGCAATGTATGCTGATGACTTGGTACTCTGGTGTACAAATGAAAATGCAACAGTGGCCACCAGGATGCTACAAAGAGCCATAGATGCAATGGCTGATTGGGCCAACAAATGGTGTGTCAGCATCAACATAGGCAAATGCAGCACCACCCTCTTTACCCTTTCTCCTAAACAAAAATCAGGTGTCATGCATATAAATGGAGTACCCCTGAGAGAGGATAAGGAGCCCACATACCTCGGCGTAACGTTTGATGATAGATTAACATGGAGAAAACACATCAACAAGGCAGCAACCAAAGCCAGAAGGAGGGTAGCCATTCTGAGAAAACTAAGTGGAACCACATGGGGTGCTAGCGGGAAAATACTTAGAAAAGTTTACCAACAAAGTGTTCGACCACATCTTAAATACGGATCAACAGCGTGGAGCTCGGCATCAAAAACCACATTGCAAGAATTAGACAAAGTGCAAAATCAAGCACTCAGAGTTACCACAGGCAGTATGAAATCAACACCTATAGCTGTGATGGAGAAAATGGGGATGACCCAAGCACTGAGTGAACGCAGAGACACCAAGATGCTTTTACAAGCAGAAAAGTTTCTTAGTATGCCCAGTCACCCTATGAATAAAAGATTCCAAAATTTAGCTTTGGGACGACTAAAGAGAAGTAGTTTTATCCACCAGGCCAAACGGCTCGGCAGACAAACCACTGATTTACCTGCAACTGATAGATCCTTAAATGCTGTCCCAGAACGGACCCCCTGGAGAGAGGAGTATAAGTTTCCAATACACATCAAGACTGAAGTGAAAGGAGTATTTGACAAGGAAGAACAAAACAGTGTGCAGCGCAAAACAGCCAACCTCAGTCTACTTGATGAAGAATACCCGCAGAACCTTTGGGTCCGTGTTTACACAGATGGGTCAGCAGAAAGCGCAGTCAGAAACGGAGGTGCGGGAGTGTACATTGAGTATCCTAATAATACCAGGGATACAGCCAAATTACCAACGGGAAAGCACTGTCACAACTATGATGCAGAAGTTCAAGCCATCAAAATAGCGGTAGAGAAACTACTAAATACAGGGTATTTTTCACAACCAGTGGTATTCCTGACAGATGCAAAAGCAGTACTTCAGTCACTCCAGTCTGGAAAATTACCAAGCATACGGACACTATTATCCGAACTGGGCAACCGCTGTAAATTAGTAATGCAGTGGATACCTTCCCACTGTGGAGTTCCCGGAAACGAAAAAGCTGATAAACTAGCTAAGGAAGGTGCAACTGAAGAAAAAACCTAACATACCAGTCTCTTATCAACAGAAGAAGAGAATGATCAAATCAATCAGAATGCCACCGAAACTGGCACAAGATGATTACCATATTATGGACAGACCAGAGCAAGTCATTATCCTTCGCCTTAGAACAGGGCACAATCGACTTCGCTCCCACTTGTACAACAAATTTAAGATTGGCCAATCAGCCATGTGTACTTGTGGACTGGCACCTGAAACAACAGATCACATCCTTCAAGACTGTCCCAAATTCAACGCTTTCAGGCAAAAACTTTGGCCAAAAGAGACACTTGTGGAAGTCAAACTTTACGGGCCGCTTAGTGAATTACAAAAGACAGTGAAATTCATACTAGAGACAGCTTTGCAGATATAGACAATTTATTTCATGCGAACGAAAGAAGAAGAAGAAGAACTTCTGTCTTCTCATTATTCAAACTGAGGCCCATTCTTCCACTCTCCAACACCACAATGTCTATCATTTCCGGTAGTTCTTTCTGACTCATTGCTATCAAGAATGTGTCATCAGCATAACAAGTTGTTTACATTGTGCCCACCAACCACAATTCCGGGCAATTAAAGATCTCATTATATATTCACTGTATAGTGAAAATAAATCAGGTGACAGTACACATCCTTGTCGTATGCCCCTCTTTATGCTGTTTGCTGCCAATACAGATTCTTTATTATTCGTAGATCTTTTACATCAATGTTTAATTTTTCTAACAGTTTGATTACTTCTCCATGCTTCACACAGTTAAACATAAAAAAACAAAATCAAGGATTCCCTAAATCAAACAGATTCATTTTAAGAATGAATTTAACAGAAAGAAGAAACTGGTACCTTGCTTGCTGCTGGGTTTTCCAGACCTCCTCCAATTTTTTATTGGTGTTCTTCAATGAGGCTTGGGTTAGCTGCTCCATTCTCTTCCTCTTGTTGCTCAAGGTTTTAGATATGTCAGCTGACATGTTTACAATAATTAAATGTCATATATATATTATAGTAATAAAACATTTTCTTTGTTTAACTATTGAATGTTGAAATAAGAATTGACATTACAGCACTTGGGACACTCCCGTAAGTGCCCTGTCCCTATTTTCAGCATCAAGCAAAGAGTTTCGATTTGATGGCACCAGTAACAGTCTGATTGTATATCCGCCTTGCCTTTCCCTTGAGTGTTTAGTGTCAGCCAGATTCCCTGGTAACTCTATGCAGCGCTGTTCTTCTCAGACTGTAATGATCTATTTGTGCCTCTGCACAGTTCACTTGCTCCCCAAGGGTCTTCACACCATCTAGCATGTCACACATCAATTCACCACCAAATGGTGCAGAACATGTGAGTCTATCTGCCTGCTCCTTTCCCAACACACCGGCATTGCCTGGAGAAAATATCCAAAGGATGCTAACTACCCGGAACCTTTGTTTAACTATCAAGGATCTTACATTCTTGTTATTATTTAATAAAAAAGGCACAAACATCAGATTGCACAATTCAGTGACTAGGCATATTTTGCTGTACCTAATCAGTAACAATTGAATAAAATAAAATAAATTAATTGATTAATCCTTCGAAATGAAATAGAACATTAACCACACTCAGAAGTAACTGATTCATTTTTGTGGCTTTATTCGATTAAAGTGTTATCTTTAGTTGCACTTGCTGAGATACAGTACAACCTGCTAGGCATTAAAATGTACAGTTTATTGTATTCTTTGTGTAAATTTACAACAGGAAACACTGCTTTAATTATTTTTGTTTTCAATTTACATAACTACATGCACACTGCGCCATGGCAGTACAGTGGCTAATACATCTGCTGGTGAATGTGGCAGTCACGTGTTCAAATATCCATCTAGATGGGGATAACATAGCGTAGATCCAGTGCTGCAAGCTCTCATGAATGGTAAACTCCCTCACCTGAGAACTGAACAGCATACTGCACCTCAGTGGGTGCTTTCGGACGTTTTCTTAGGATTCTTTTCTTTACTTACTAATTTAGCAGTTCTATGTGTGCTTCTTTTTTTTGGGGGGGGGGGGGGGGGGGGGGGGGGGGAAGGACCATATCTGGCAAAAATAAAAAATAAAATAACACAGACCCTTTGCTCCTTAACAGGATGTTTGCTGGTGTCTTTTCGTCTTTCCCCATAACAGTGTTATATTGTGAGAAGGCATGAGATCACAGCCCATGGCCATGGTGAGTGTGACTAGCAAGACCCGCTAGCGTTAAAAAAAATTTTCAGCAATTATAGCATGGGATTTTAGGTCTGTTGCCATCATTTGTATTTATGTGTTACTTCTCATCCTTTCTGCAATCATTTCTTCATTATCATTCTCTTCTTGATTTACCACTTCTACGCAACATGGTCCCTTGAATTTTGTTCCCATTAACCAACCTCAATACCTGTATCATTCAAGTCCCGCTTGCACACATATTTATATTGTAGTAGAGGTCAGCTTTGACATCATCTGCTCATCATTAATTCACCACAGAGGATGTGCTTGGGGACTCTGCCATCCTCCATTTTCCAGGTGTCACCCAGCCACCTGAGCCTTCGGAGACTGAGCACTGAGAAAACTGTTGTAACATCTGCTCTTTCCAATACCTCTGTGTCTGTGATCCTGTCTTGCCACTTAATGCCAAACTGGTTGTTAACAAGTGACGAATAAGCGATTTGCTGAAATTGCATATATTGGGCTAAAAGTCAGTCTTTAAACCACAACACAATTTGCAAGCTTTGGTTTTAAGGGTGAATGCAGAAAAAGAAGAAGAGTGAGAAGAAGAAGAGTGAGAAGAAGAAGATGACTGAGAAGAAGAATAAAGCCGTAATGCTAATATACACACTGTTCAGAATACAAAAACATATTTCTGTAAATTTGGCATAATCAAATCAACTATGTGATATGAACTTAATTTAATATATTACCTCCAAATCCTTCCAGCATTTTCTGCATCTCATGACTGAAGAAACAAAAAACACTATCATATGAGAAAGTGTACAAGAATTAAAAGTGAGCTTGCTTTTAAAAAAAAAGGAGCAAAGTGTCTATACAGAGAATCAAATGACAAAATTAAATAGTAAAGAACAAATAGCCAGAGCAAAAAAAAAAAAAAAAATATCACAAATGTAACCCAGTCAAATATATCCCAAGATCGAGGAAGAGTCTATGACTCACACATATAAAATGCAAGAGGAAAGTTGCAGGATCTTAAAATTAGCAGGCAGGTCTTGGGCCTGAGTATTTAGGGCCACATACCTAGTGCAGTCGCCATGAATGGTTCAGGTTATAATCCCCCACCTTCCCCCATAAACAAACCCCACCATTTTACCAAGGATTCGAACCTCAGTCTCCTGAATGAAAGTCTAGTGTTCTTAAACAATTGGTCAGGCACTTCTCAAAAAGTTCAAATAAAATGACCTTTGACCCATGCTTTCAGGCGTATTGGGCACACAGTGCCAGACCCATATATTATAAAGCAACCCATATCTTATAAAGCAACCCAAATCTTATAAAGCAACCCAAATCTTATAAAGCAATCCATATCTTATAAAGCAACCCATATCTTATAAAGCAACCCATATCTTATAAAGCAACCCATATCTTATAAAGCAACCCACATCTTATAAAGCAACCCATATCTTATAAAGCAATCCATATCTTATGAAGCAACCCATATCTTATAAAGCAAACCATATCTTATAAAGCAACCCATATCTTATAAAGCAACCCATATCTTATAAAGCAACCCATATCTTATAAAGCAACCCATATCTTATAAAGCAACCGATATCTTATAAAGCAACCCATATCTTATAAAGCAACCCATATCTTATAAAGCAACCCATATCTTATAAAGCAACCCATATCTTATAAAGCAATCGACATCTAGTGGGTGATGAGGTCAACATCACAACTGATGAAAAATATAAATAAATGTAATCAAAATTAAAAAAAAAAAAACGATCTCCACCATTGCGGGTCACAAGCCCTGGTGAGCAAGGAGGAAGAGGTGTGCACATAGGGAAGCCAGTTCCCCACCATTTAAGAAAACATTTGCTACAGAAAAGTTATGTATTTTATATTCTAATATTATTTCAGTTTTAACATTTGCAATTGAAAGCTGGAGAACCACCAAAGACACGGGGACCAAAGTTTAATGCATTTGAAAACAAATGTTTGAGTAACATGATGACAATAATATGATATGAATTTAGAAGCAGTGGGAAAAAAAAGAAAGAGAAATGTCTGGGCAACCCCTAGTATCAACAGTTGTAAGACAGAGAAGATGGCACTATACTGGACACATCCTGCGCAGAAACCAGCAGAGAATCACTAATCAGGCACTAAAATGGGAATTAAAGGGACTAAGGAGGTAAGGATGCCCAACAGAAACCCTAAGATGTAAGCTGGTGAGAGAGGCCAAAGCTGCTGGACTGGATTCCATCCATGATACTGATTGCACAGGACAAAACAGAATGAAGGAATAGACTGTGAGCCCAATATGACATATAATGGCACAACAGGATATTGAATAAAAAAAAAACCAAATATAGCCAAACCTGAAATCATTTGGATCATAATCCACATCAGCAATCCTTTTCTTTCCAGCGGCTGCAGGGATCACAAGTGGTGTCTCCGTATCTGAAACATACATACAGCCAGAGAGAAGTAACCTGGGAGTTTAATATTATATGCATGTAACGTATGAAATTAAAGTCACTATAACATATGAAATTAAAGTCACTACTTTTTGGTATTTAAAGTATTTAATTCGCAGCAATACCACTTGTTTCTGTTTATTATTGACAAACAGGGCTTCTTTTGTCTAGACAAAAAGGTGCTGGTACCATAAAATATTTCTTTTTCTTTTTCTTTGCTTAACTACCACATGCATAAAATAAAGATTGTACAGTCCCCACAGTGTACCTGTCAAACAGGACCACAAATATCTGAGCACATTCTGTAGACCTGTCAACTCTACCTACAACTTCGAAAAGACACCTGGCCTCAAGAGTGAAGTGTGCAGAGCAAGCACCGGCTGCTGACATGCGAGTTCATAGAGGCAACACACCTGATGCTCTGATCTGAGCATACGAAACCGAACGCAATGAAGAAGAGGAAAAATAAAATGTTTAAACAAGTTGCTGGTCCTCACCATAAAGTGTCGATTACAGATAAGCCCAAATTAACATGACCTAAAAAAAAAGTACCAGTATTGCATACTGTTGCGGCTGCCAGAAAAAAAAAAACCCAGCTGAAGTGCACACCCACACACATATAATCAAGCAATCAATATTAGAGATGAGCCAACTTACATCTTTGTCAGATGACAAATCCTAGTATAAGTTACAAGACCCCGGGGGGGGGGGGGGGGGGGCCCTCTCAACAAGCAGGTTTTCAGACTAAACTAATTAGAGATGCTTCCTTTAAAGTTGAAGTGCATCTGCCGGAAAGGTGAGAAACAAACAGTCTGCATAAAAACTAGCTTGATCTGTAAAACAGATGTGCACACAGAACTCAGATTCTGGAACAAGACTAAAGTCCAGAAGTGGATAATCAGATGAACAGCCACACAACAGTACCCAACTTTTAACAAGTTTACACCCGGGAAACGCAAAGAAGGAGAGTTGAGTCCAGAATTGACATCACAGCACTCGGGGTATTCCTATGCATGCTCCGCCCGCATCTTCAGCAGCCAGCGCAGAGTTCTGATACTGATGGTACCGGGTCACAATCTAGTTATATGTCCGTCTTGCCTTTCCTCTGAGTGTAGTGAGCCGGCCGCAAGCCGGCCAGACCATCTGGTTACACCCAGGTGCCTCATTCTCTCCAGATGATAATAATCTTGTTTTTATACTGATTCCGTTGCTTGTTCCAAAAGAACCTTGACCACACAGGCATTGTCATGTATAAATTTACCACCTAGTGGTGCAAATCCAGCCAATTTGTCTGCCTGATAATTACCCGCCGGCATGACCTGGAGAAAAGATCCAAAGTAACGCGAAGGAGAAGAAACTAGCAACATAACATCAGTGTATTTATTATATAATAAACACTTTTCGCCAAAGAGCTATAACCACACTGCTAACAACATTATAAGTTTTATTTATAATTCTTGCTCTAAAAATATTTGTAAACAAATTTTCAAAGAAACAGCAGAATTACTAGAACTCACGACCTCTTTGCTGCATTTGTTGTGGAGCTACAGGACTACTGCCTTCGCTGTGAATGTTAAGTTCGTCCTCTAAATCCTCCCTGTGTCGTTTTACTGGTGGTTGATTATCACCCAGCTTTTTAGCTTTAGGCATGTTAAGATTTGGGCAAACAAAAAAATTTGAAATATATTAAATATCGTTTGAGCTTTCCCGACTTTCGGGTTTTCGGAGACCAGCAGACGACAAAGCTTGGCGGGACAAGGGAAAACAACTCCAACAAAAAATCAAACGGAAGGGCTGGTGCAATTCTCGTTCTTGTTGGCAAGTTTAAGAATGGCGGCCTCCGTAACTGCTGAAAAAGCTCAGCAAATAATTGATGATGTTGCTCTGGAGCGAGAAGTAAGTATTCCTTACTTTAAATCGTTTGTGTACACACTTCGTTATTTTAAAGGTGTTCTGTTTTGTATAGTAGATTAGGAAAATGTAGTCTGATGTCATTCAGAACTGTACGTACACTGTAAATTGTGAACTTAAAATAAGTTAAAACTCAATCACTCATCATGACAGAGTTAGTTAAAGTTGCTATGTAAAAAAAAAAAAATATGATTATTAATTATTATTTATAAAAATTATTATTTATAAAGCAGCAGAGAAACCGTTAAATATACGTCATATTTCACAACCAGTGGTATTTCTGACAGATGCAAGAGCGGTGGGCTATCTTCCGAATAACGGTCCCAAATTATCGAGGTCGAAAATATACCCTAACAGGGCCTCAGTCACATGTCAGTTGCCATCTAGTTTAGCCACGCCACGTATAGCGGCGTGGCAGATACTCTAGGTGGTGGCTGTATAGTCCCACGGAAGTCTGCAATTCGGAGGTGGAGGTATAGTTCCCGGAAGTTCACAATTGACATGTGACTGACGCCTGTTAGGGTATATTTTTCGCCTAGATAATTTGGGACTGTTATTCGGAGTACAGCCGAGCGGTGCTTCAGGCACTTCAATCTGGAAAACTACCTGGTATTTAAACACTACTTCTCAGACTTGGCAGCCCGTGTAAGGCTAACTATGCTGTGGATATCATCCCAATGTGGAGTTCCTGGAAATGAAAGAGCTGATAAACTAGCTAAGGAAGGTGCACATGAAGAACAACATGACATACCAGTCTGTTATCAACAAAAGAAGATAATAATCAAATAATTTAGAAAGCCACTGAAACCTCACAAGACGATTACCATCTTATGGACAGACCAGAGAAAGTTAATTTTTACGCCTTACAACAGGACACAGTCGACTTCGCAGCCACATGTCTAAAAATTTAAAATCTGCAAATCAGCCATGTGCACATGTGGACTGGCACCTGAGACAACAGATTATGTCCTCCAAGACTGTCCCTAGATACAACACATCAAGGCAAAACTTTTGGCCACAAGAAAATTGGTGTAAGTCTAACTTTAAGGTCGCTGAGTCAATTACAAAAGACAGTGAAGTTCACACTAGAGACAGCATTACAGATATAGATAATCTATTTCAAGTGAACCAAAGAAGAAGAAGAAGATTATTACTATTTACCCTGTGTGGGTTCTGGGACCCCATAATAGGGTAAATCAAGAATAGACCCACTGCCAACCCAAAAACATGTCATAAGAGTCAACTACTTGGGAGCTTCCTTTGAAGTCAGAGTGCATCTGCCTGAGAGGCACGGAACCAGCAGTCAGCATACAAATGAGTCAAATCTGTAAAACAGATGCACATTCACGCTCAAGTTCTGTAACAGGACTGCAGTCCAGAAGTGGATGAACAACCAGACTGTTGCACCAGAGCTTCCAGCTGGTGAATGCGAAGAAGAAGAAGGGGGAGTAATATGTCTTGCCTCCACTCGCACACTTGTGTTTTTCGATGCTAACTTTTTTTTTTTCAAAACTATTGTAATGAAATAATTGTAGTAGTTGCCCTCTTTTTTTTTAATTAAAACTCTACAGCTACACTCTGCTGGTTAGAATATTGTTATTGTATTTTATAAAAAATGTCTACTAATTAGCAGGTTGTTATTCTCTTGTGTGTGTGTTTTAAACACCTAATGCTTTGCAGATATTTCGTAATCTTTTTGTTTTGTTTAACTCTACCAGTTAGCTGAACTTGAGACAGAAGAAATTCCATCTCATATCAGAGAAGCTAGATTGGATACCTTGAAGCAACAGTCGCTTCACTTCCATCAGATGAAAGAGTTGGATTGTGGAAAATATACGTAAGTCGATGACGCTGATGGACTTTTTAAATCCATGCAATTCATGTAGGTTTATTGGTAACCATACACAGGGTAGGGTAAGGGCATAGAACAGAGGGTAGACCAAGAAGAGGATGGAAAAATAACATCAGAGAAACTCTACAACAGTTTGGTGTTTCTATGGCTGAGACACACAAACTAGAACCTTATATCTCTGACAACTCCTGGAGCAATAAAAGAAGTGAAGAAGATACTCAGGGTACATTTCCAAACTCCTTCTATCCAATTCTTCTGTTTCGCTGACTTTCAGCACCAGACAGCTCACCATTTATTTATTATTCAACACATGGTAAACATGTTTAAACTCAGTTGTCCAGTTCTTCTGTAAAGATAATAAATTACTTTCTTTTCTTCTGCCCTTCAGTTTTATTTTTAAAGCTGACTGCAGCTTTTTCAGATTAATGTGTACAAACTTTGGGGAAAGTCCTTGGGGACTCTATCTTCTTCCAAGTGTGTCTGAGCCATATGAGCCTCAGACTAAGTATTGAGAATCTTAGCCAGAAAACTGCTGTGAAAGCATCATGATGACTAGCAGGGCTTTTTTTCTCTAGGAAATCAGTGGGTGCTGGTACCACTAGAAAGTGTCTACAATAGGTGGCGCTACTAACAACAGAGTGTGTGTTGGTGTCGCTTAAAAGACTGAAATGATTGGGGCATATTGAGAGAACTGTCAGATGCCAGAGAAGTGAAAACTGAGTTATGAGTTAGTTTATCTTCACAGCACTCTGGAGACATCCATAGGTGCTCAGATTTCCCTCTCAACATATTTCATCAGCGTCGTGCGGTTAATAGTACCAGTCCTATGTTGGTTAACAAGACTTTGTGTGTGTCCAGTGTGCTTCCCATGCTTGGCTATGCCGATCTTTACTCCCAATTCACGTATTCTTAGCAGTGATGTGGTCATGTTGCTTCCAAAATCCTCAGAATGTCCTATCTCTCTAAGTGCACTGACAATGTCTGCGTAACCAGACTCGCCGGATCGTGTTTAAAGAGTCACTCTCACACACACACACGCGGGAATAGGCCTATATCACCGCCATCACCTCCATCGTCATGCTGCTGGTGGTCGTGGAGAAGGCACCGCTGGCTTCCTGAACTGTTCTGCCTGAAGAGCTAGCTGTAAATGCCCATGCACTCTTATGTCCTTGTATAACGGACCCGTCTGTGAAGATCACCACATCTGTCTCATCTGAAAACTGTATACACAACGGAGGTGAATGGTCGTAGACCAGGAGGCAGACCAAGAAGACGATGGAGAGATAATGTCCAGACAGACCTGCAAACACTTGGTATCACCACCTGGAAAGAGAAGGCTAACCAGAGAGATAAATGGAGGCGGGTGATATCTGCAGCAGTGAACCTTAAAGGCTTGGAATGCTTAAAAAGAAGAAAAATAAAAAGGTGCTAGTACTGCATACCTTTACGTTCAGCCAGGAAAAAAAAATCCACCATGACTGGAGCAATCAACAGGAACGTGGATGAGGAAGACGGAGAGAAACCATGGTGGATGGTAGTTTTATGAAGTATCATCATTCAACAATCAAGAAGTCCAAGAACAGAGGTCTGTAGCAAGACATAAACACCACATGATAAAACACGTGATGAACATGCTTTAGAAAACGATAATAGTTAGTATGCGTTCTGAAGGGGTAGAAAGCATTTGAAAATCACACTTAACCTCCCTCACCTGGATCTACACACCCAGTCCTGCTGGCGTAAAAGGTAACGAGCAAGCAAATAATACTAATTGCAACCTGATTAAAAGTTCGCTTATGCTTCCCTCTTTGTGTTGAATATCTTCCAGGACCTGCACCCCCCCCCCCCCACCCGCATTTTTCCCCTTCCGTTGAATTAGTCTTTTGAAGCAGAGAAAGGTGATGTTGTTCCTCATAGGAACAATTAGTAGGGGGTACTTCGAAGTGGCTGCTGCTGCATCCGAGAACGGAGCATGCAAGTCCAATGTGCAGTGATGTTGGTTGTGATAACATAACATGATATTAATGACATCTAAAATATCTAATCTGCATTTATTAACTTTCCAGGCTATTACCGGATGAGAGAAGTTTTCTGGATCTGACAACATCTCCTGAAGTACAGCAGTGCGTGGTTCACTTCTTTCATCCAGATTTCCGGCGATGTGCAATCGTGGATGCCCACCTGGAGGTGAGCCTTTGAAGCTTTAAAAACTCAGACAGTTTGTGGTTTCTATCTCAAAGTGTGTGCCCCTTAGAAGATCAAGACTCATAAGAGTCTGAAGAAGTTGAAATCATGCAACTGTGGGATCTTCATTTATAGACCATGCCATGTGGCATTGGTAGTCATGTCTCTCCACAACCTGCTGTCTCGTATCCTCTTCTTGTCTTCTATCCCCCAATAGAGCCTAGTGGTGAATTAAAGTATGACAAGCTAGATGTTGAGAGGGCTGTTTGGGAGCAAATAAACAGTGAGGAGGCACAGATAGATCATCACGGTCTGAGGAGAATGGCACTGCGGGGGGTTAAAATAGGATCTGGATGATGCTCAGGGGAAAGGCGAGACGGATATACGATTAGACAATCACTGGTGCCATTGCAATTGGAACTTTTTGCTTGCTGCTGAAGACAGGGACAGAGCGCTTATGGGAGTGTCCTGAGTGCTTGATGTCTATTCTTAATTCAACATTCAATAATAGATATATTATGAATAATACATTCCTGTTGGGACCGACATTTTGCTTGTGTGAAGTGAATTCATGTTAAAAAGGTTTTGCTATAGTTTGTATTGTGGTAAGTTAATTCTTGAGCACTTAATGTTTGTTTGCTAATTACTTTCGAGAAACTATCCAAACACAGTTAGTTCTTGAGCATTTAATCTTTGCTAATTACTTTACAGAAACTGTCCAAACACAGTTACTTCTTGAGCGTTTAATGTTTGTTTGCTAAATAATTTCCAGAAACTGTCCAAATACAGTCACTTCTTGAGCGTTTAATGTTTGTTTGCCAATTACTTTCCAGAGACTATCCAGACACAATTACTTCTCGTGCATTGAATGTTTTTTTTTTGCTAATATACTTTCCAGAAACTGTCCAGGAAATATTTTGAAACAAAGTTTGCCAAGCTGAATGTGGAGAAATCCAATTTTCTTGTGACCAAACTGAAAATTCAGACATTGCCCGCTATCTTCTGTTTCAAAAAGGCTATCGTGGTTGACAAGTGAGTGCAGTATGCTTTAGTTTCAGTTGCCTCGTCTGATATTTGTGATATGACTTTTTGAAACCCCATTTAATCTGGATTTTATATTAATATATTTTTTTAAAGTCAAATTCTCTTCCATGTGAGTTCGGGGGCTCCATTTAGGAAAGAAACGGAGAATAGGTCCACCCCCCACAAAAGCATGTCATAGGAGACGACTAATTAGGGGTATTTCCTCTAAGGTCGAGAAAGAGTCTGCCTGAGAGGCAAGGAACCAACAGTCTGCATACAGATAAAATCTGTAAACTGTAAAATAGATGTGCATGCAAAACCTAAGTTCTGAAACGAGACCAAAGTCCAGGAGTGGATAAACAGCCAGAATTTTCCACCAGGGTTTACAGTCAGTAAACACTTAAAAAAGAAGAAGAAAAGAAGAATGAAGTCTCTATAGATGTAGATGTACCTTAGAGTAGGTTGTTTTCAAGAGAAACCCTAAGGTGAGTGTTAATGAGAGAAACCAAGGATGCTGGACTGGATTCCCTCAATGATATCGAAGTGATTGCACAGGATAGAACAGAGTGGAGAAATAGACTGCGTCTGTATGACATATAATGACACAAGCAGGACAGTGAATGAATAAGACACTTGGTTATGTTTGTTGATCAACAGTAAAACAAAAGGTAAAGAACTTTTCACACCATTATGTAATCATTTGTAATTGTAACTGACTCACAAAGTATTTTGACAAAGGTGGACAGGTATGCTACATGCAGAGTGGCAACCATTGCTTCAGAGGTTCTAGATAGTTAGCGTCTTTTGGATATTTTCTTCAGGTGATACTGGTGTGTTGGGAAGTGAGCAGGCAGATAGACTTGCCGTTTCTGCACCACTTGATGGTGAATTAATGTATGACAAGCTAGATATTGTAAGAACCCTTTGGGGATGAGGGCGGTGAGGAGGCACAAATAGAAAATTACAGTCTGGGAAGATGTGGGGAATTGCCAGGGGATCTGGTAGGGAAAAAGCGAGACAGAAATACAATCAGACAGTTAGTGGTTCTGAAGAGGGGGACAGAATGCTTATGAGAGTGTCCCAAGTGCTATGATGTTGATTCTTACTTCAGTATTCAATCAACATTTATGTCATCATTTAAATTCAAAATTGGAAGATATTTCTTTAAAACTTGTTTGTTTCTGCCATTTTTAAAAATCCCAGAATCGTTGGATTTGAAGAGCTTGGTAACACAGATGATTTTCCACTCATTGTCCTTGAGAGACGTCTGGCTAGATCCGGTATGTACCAGAATGTCTAGGTTGCTATGGAGATGTTATTCTTTTTGACTTTTCTTTTGTGGCTATTTTTTGGCTTATACATTTTTAATCGGTTTTCTCTCCATGTGGTTTCCGGCCCCTCCATTTTGAAGAACAAAGAATAGATCCACTACCCCCTCTTACAAGTATGGCAGAAAAGGCCACTAATTAGGGGGGTTTCCTTCAAAGTCAGAGTGCATTTGCTGGGAGGCAGGCAGTCTGGCTGACATTTTACCCCACCAGGACATCATTCGGAGCGATAAACACCCAGTGACAAAAACTGCCACCATTCGGATGAGGATCACCCGTGAAGAGGTCCCAGCAAGCCTGTTCAACAATTAGGTTATATTAGGGTCCCCGGCAACAACCAGGGTGGGGCTTCAGAATAATGAGAAATTTGTCCCACATGTGGATGTGACGTGTATAGGCAGGGAGTCAACAGTCTGCATAAAAATAAGCCAAATCTATCAAATGGATGTTCCTGCAAAACTGATGTTCTGGATCAAGGCCAAAGTCTAGTAGTGGATGAACAACCAAAACTTTCTACCAGAGTTTACAGCAGGTGAATGCTAAGACAAAATTTGGTTTTATTAGTAGAAGCAGCAGCAGAAACAGTTGGATCTGGTATTGGATAGTACATGCATTGAGAGAACCTGATAATATAATTAGGATGTCCTTGCACTGAACTTATCGGGTAAATGGAATAAAGACAGACCAAGAAACACAAGGAAATTAGAATTAGAGAATAAGATGGTGAAAACACAGAGATTAAAAAGATGGGGAAGATAGAGGTGAGAAAGATGGGGAAGAGAGAGAGATGAGAAAGTTGGGGAGGACAGAGGTGAGAAAGATGAGGAGGACAGAGGTGAGAAAAATGGCAGAAGATAGAGTTGAGAATGATGGGGAAGACAGGTGAGAAAGATGAGGACAGAGCTGAGGAAAATGGGGAAGATATAGATGAGAAAGATGGGGAGGACAGGTGAGGAAGATGGGGAAGACAGAGATGGAAAAAATGGGTAAGACAGAGGTGAGAAAGATGGGGAAGACAGAGGTAAGAAAGATGGGGAAAACAGAGATGAGAAGACAGAGGGGAGAAAGATGGGGAAGACAAATATAAGCTTTATACAATGGCAAAGGTTTAGGTGACTCTCAATATAGATTATGTGTGTGTTTTAGGACATATGAGAAATCTGCATATATATTTATGACATGAGAGATAACCTTATACTTCCATATAAATATGTGTAAGATCAAGAGAGGGAGAAGATGAACATATGATGTAGTAGATAACCTTATGTTTCTCTCTCTCTCTCTCTCTCTCTCTCTCTCTATCTCTCTCTCTATCTCTCTCTATATATATATATATATATATATAGTATATATATATATATATATATATATATATATATATATATATAAATATATATATATATATATATATATAAATATATATATATATATATATATATATATATATATATATATATATACATATATATATACACACATATAAAGAGAGGATAATACATATATATATGTATATACATGGGACATAAAGGTATATTTCCATATATATGTAGAGAGAGGGGGAGAGGATAAACATATACATTTATGACATGGGCAAAAGGCAAATCCCCCCCCCCCCTCCCCACCCAAGCAGCCATTTAGCGGTTTTTTTCTCTGCATTTTACATCAGCCATGTTGAACATTAAGTTAGATCATTAATAAGATGGTACATGTGAGGTCACCACATCTTATGTTGCAGTGGAGCCAAATCACCAGCCTCTGTTTGGAATAGATGGGGAAGGTGTTTTAGCACATGTAATCATTGCAGTCCTGGTTCCAACTTTATAGCAAACAGATAACCCCATAGTTGCCCCACTTCTGTGTCAGTAAAAACCATGCAGGATATCTGTCACTGTTGGGCACAGTCAGAAAGTACTGTAAATGAAATCCGCAGCTCACAGTGTCATGTCATGTACTCAGTTTAGTAGCTGGGCAACGCAACTAAAACTTTTCAGTCTACGTATGGAGAAAAATGCTGACTGTTTTGGAAACAAAAACTTGCCACAAATAAATACAGTAATCGGAAGTACCACTTTTTGGGAGATTGTCTGTTCTGCAATCACAGATGACAGATTCGTGTGCTCTAAGGCCACACCGTTCTGCCCAAAGCCTGAAATTATTTTTTCTTACCTAATATTATGGAATGTAATGTTCCACCTGAAGCCTACAATTATGGTTTGTTATGTAATATTATGCAATATAATAACCACATCTTATTTGTGACAATACAGGGGTTATCAAATTGTCTGAAGATGAAGATCCGTCAAGGAAGACAGTATTTGGCAACAAGAAGTCATCAATACGGCAGAAGGATGACGATGACAGCAGTGATGATGATTAAAAGAAGTGCACAGAAATTTATCCACTCAAAATTTATATTTTGACACACATTTGATCAATGTACATATTTTATATGTCTAGAAAAGTAACTTGAATCTACATTTAAAAAAAAAAATTTTTTAGTTCACAATTTTTAAGAATTAATGTTTATTTCACTCACAATTGGTCGTTGTATTATTAGAATACAACTAAAAAGGTCAAAGCCTCATTATAATCTTTTAAGAATTAGTTCTCTGATAAAACCTTGGATCCATTAACAATGCAAACAGCAGAGAAACGAGAGTGAGAAGCACCAAGTAGACCAGCCAGCTTTACAATGTAACAAAACACAAACAAAAGGTGAACATTGCAGAAATAGAGCCTTTAAAAAACTCCCCACATGTACAGATGCGAATACACAAAATTACTTAGTTGATGTGTTTCTGATAGCAGCCACGTTGTTGTACGGCCTCTGAGTGAAAGATTTTTGCAGCAATCAGAAGTATACAGACTTTTAAGGGCCGTGACTGGAGGATATAAGGTGATAATGTGTTGAAAGTTAAGTCAAGGATTGCTTTGTGAAACTTTTTCACTAATTTCTAAGCCACAGATACGCAGTCATTCATACACAGGTATACATGACATTAGCACTTTTACACAGTATTCACACGTACACACAGACACATTCACAAATATACACAGACAAATTTGCACAAAAAGATTCAGACACACACATGCACAAACACCGAGAAGTTAACATATGAATGAACAATACAACCCCAGCAGCTAAGAATAATTTATTTTGTAAAATATGAGTCTACTTCAATGACTTCGAAAATATATCCTCAGTTTACAGTTATTAAATAAACATGGATAGTAATTGTTTGGCATGTGTTGTTTTTATAAAAGCATTGTGGGTTCTTTTGTGATATCCTACCCCAGATGACGTCACAGGACAGTCCAACATTTTAGAGGGTGGCATGACATGGTTTCTCGGCTTTCTGATGCTTTTAACGACTCCAAAACATCTAGAACAGCCCACGACTGCATGCAGCCTATCTAACACCCCCTGAAATATTAGACTGTCCTGTGATGTCCAGTGACCTGTGAATTTCCCCTGTTTGGGGTAGAATATAAATAAAGAACCGTATTGTGACCTGCAGGTAATAAGGTTACATTTGCTGCACTGAAACAGCTTTCTTGTTTGGTTCTCATTCCTCTCGTCCTGCAGTAGAGCAGTGTTCTTTAGCCAGTAGACCACGGCAAAGAGCAGAAAAAGAATGATATGGCCAGTTTGTAACATATAAGACCGAGCTATACTAGACATGTTCTTAGCCTTTGCTAGCAGCTGGTCTAGCAGGGAAGCTCTGACAGGCAGACAGATAAAGCACTGCTCTTCTGATTTGGCAGCTTCTACAGCTTGCTTTGTTCCAAACGTACTGGGGTTACCTTTCGTTTGGAGTGAACAAGGTAGGTCGAGGAAGGGATCATAATGCATATGGTCTGCCTAGGCTTTGTGCTATGGAGAGGACGAACTTCATCCCTGGCCATAATTGGATGGGCTGTGAGTCCCATCCCTCCTCATAGCGCAATATAACACTATCGTCTGGAAGGGTACCAATCAATACTCGGACACATTCTGAGAAGATATGAACAGAGAAGCGCCAAACAGGCACTGAAATGGGAAAGAGGGATTGAGGAAACAAGGAGATGCAAGAGAAACCCTAGGGTGGATGTGGATGAGTTAAACCAAAGATGGATTCCATCCACAATAGCAAAGTCATTGCACAGGAGAGATCGGAATGGAGAACAAGACTGCAAGCCCCGTGTGATATATAAAACAACAACAGGACAATGAAGGAATTATTAAAATGTATTTACATTAGTTTGCTGTGGAAAAAGCCCTGGTAAGTTAAAAGTAAAGGACCCTTTCCCACCCCTTTAGGCATATAGGGCTAGACCTATATTTTATAGACCAATCCGCACAAGATGGATGATGTGGTTAGCATTATGCCGGCCGCCTATACTTCCCGGGACAGCACCCGGTAGCCACTCAAGGCTGGGTTTATCTGGGAGCCAAGGTCATTTTTTAAACAAAAGTCAGGCTAAAAAAAACCCTGGTGGGCCATAGAAAAGCTCAGGTTGGTGATGGACTAGCCCAGGTGGGCTGTGGAAAAGCCCAAGTGGGTCATGCACAAGCCCAGGTAGGTCATGAACAAGCCCAGGTGAATAGTGCACAAGCCCAGGTGGGTAGTGCACAAGCCCAGGTGGGTCATGCACAAGTCCAGGTGATTAGTGCACAAGCCCAGGTGGGTAGTGCACAAGCCCAGGTAGGTCATGCACAAGCCCAGGTAGGTCATGCACAAGCCCAGGTGAATAGTGCACAAGCCCAGGTGGGTAGTGCACAAGCCCAGGTGAATAGTGCACAAGCCCAGGTGGGTAGTGCACAAGCCCAGGTGAATAGTGCACAAGCCCAGGTGGGTAGTGCACAAGCCCAGGTGAATAGTGCACAAGCCCAGGTGGGTCATGAACAAGTCCAGGTGAATAGTGCACAAGCCCAGGTGGGTAGTGCACAAGCCCAGGTGAATAGTACACAAGCCCAGGTGGGCCATGAACAAGTCCAGGTGAATAGTGCACAAGCCCAGGTGGGTAGTGCACAAGCCCAGGTGGGTCATGCACAAGTCCAGGTGATTAGTGCACAAGCCCAGGTGGGTAGTGCACAAGCCCAGGTGGGCTGCCAACATTTTCTTCCTAATCATGTAATGGGGTGGGGTGGACAGTTTTTTTCTCTTCCAGGATTGTAGTTTGTAAGATTTAACACCTCAAGGATGAAAATCAAACAGGTACCAATCCAGTTTAACCCCAGAAAACAGTAATGCCATGGCACCCGACGGCAGAATAGAAGGAATTAAATGGTTTGATAGAATCACTGATGTAGTGCTTTGGGAGAGAACCAGACAAATTCCAGTGGCCCAAGAGGTGACGAAAAGATGCTGGAGTTGGATAGGGCACACGTTGCGGAAATCTGAGAACAGTATAAATAGAATGTCTTTGCACTGGAACCCACAGAAGCACAGCAATAAAGGAAGACCAAAAACACATGGAGAAGGGAGCTAGAGAGTAAAGTTTAAAAGATGAGAGCTGCATGTGACAGCGAAAGATAGAACGACTTGGCGTGAGTTGGTTGAGGGCCTATGCTTCATTGGGGGTTAGAGAGGCAGAAGAAGACCCAAAGGTTAAGTAACCTGTAGGCCAATCAACGCTGGGAATAAGGACAATAACTCATAAAGCGGCTAAATGATTCCTCTAAAGCGAGTGTGGCATTGTATATGCCAATCTTGTTTCTGTGTTTTATTAGCTATCAGGCGGGCCATGAAACAATGTCCTCTGTTTTTGTGGGACATGGATGTAAAACAGGTTGAAGAACACTGCTATAGAGCATGCCTGTGTCCACTTTTCAAAACATGTTTAGTGAGCTGGTTACAATTATGAAGTGTGTGTGTGTGCAGCTGGTTATCAAGGCATCAAAAAGCTACTGTCGGTCATTTTGTAGAAGTTGATAAAGTGCATTAACTTTCTGATGGCCAGGATGCTTTTGATTTCGCCCTTCCCAAGTGGACTGCAGGGCCTTATAGGGGGGGGGGGGGATAGAGCCCTGACAATATACAAGGATATCATAAAAAGTGACTAATGAAGGGTTTCATGTAATTGGATATGTTGAGCTAAATGGTGCAAATATCACAGTCTAGCTGGAAACTACAAGGTGTCAGCTGGCCTTTAAAGGGCGAAAACAGAAAAAGAAAAAGACCTGGTTTTTTAAATTGCTTCATATAAATATAGAAAATAGCCTCATATATACAATATATTGCAACAGTACATAAGATAATATAGCGTAAAAAGAAAAATTCCTAAATAAGAGATCAATATTACAAAACACAATACTTATAATTTTGGCCATTTATAGTAAAGCTGTAAACATACTCACAGATGGATAGCATAATGTTGATATCACAATTGTTTGAAAGACATGCTTGTATAAAGTACACAATGTGAAATAAGCAAAAAACTATGAATAAAAAAAAAAAAAAACATAAGTTTTTTAATTTTATAAACTCTAAAGCATCCCAATTATATCCATAATTATCAATATTGTCAGATAACCTCTTCCCAGGGAAGACTGTCTGCAATGGATCTCCATCTCTCTCATCTTAATTGTACTCTCCCACACACCTTCTGTTTCTCCATGTCTTGATGTTATACTTCCACTTGTACTGATGTCTATCTCTTGATCTCTTACTTAGTTGTGATTTTCTTTCCTGTTTTGAACCCTCTCACCCCACACATTTTAAGAATATGGGCCACGAACACGTGAGAATGTCCACACACAAAAATCCAGAAAATGAACAACCATATTATACTGGTCACTAGTATAATATAGGTTGACAATAAAAAAAAAATCCAGAAAATAAACAACCATATTATACTGGTCACTAGTATAATATAGGTTGACAATTAAAAAAAGAAAAATCCACAAAAATAAATAACCATATTATACTGGTCACTAGTATAATATAGGTTGACAATAAAAAAAAAAATTCCAGAAAACAAACCATATTACACTGGTCACTAATGAATTTAAACAAAATATATCCATGACATTGGGGGGGGGGGGGGGGGGGGGGGGGGGGGGGGGGGGCAGAGAGATATATACAGAAATATAAAGGGATAATCAATAAACAAGGTGAAGCGTAAATGGAAACAGGCCTAAATAAAAACCAATATGTATTTGGTAACTCATGCTGTGACCCCTTGACCTCTGTCATTGAGGCTCAAAGGAAAATTTGACATCAGTTTGGCATTCAAATAGCCACTGGGATCATAGCTCCCCCTTCCTTTTTTTTATTTTTCAAAATTTCATTTTTAGTTACTATATATTCATACCCTAGCATATTAAACAATGCACAGGCACACACAAGACCAATGGAAATTAACTGTTTTCTGAGAACAGGTCACTGCAGACGTCATATATCAGCTTTTACGGGATTGTGTCACAACTGGAAGCTACTAGATTTTGTTTTCTCAGGAGACAGGGTTAAAAGATTGTTATTGCTTTTTTTATGTGGCTGAAATATTTCACAAGTCAGTTTCAACCACTCTTTTCAGTCACAATCTGTCAGAAACCTCTGTATATAATTGCTTTTGTTTCCCTGAAATATGACCAGTTTTTCTGTGCATACTTTTCTCCAGAAACTCAAAAGATAATTATATAAATTAACAACTAAATAATCATTAATATGCTATCTGACACAATCATAACCTAAAAGGTATGAACAGGACAATATTTTAAATGAAATCATAATTTGATCAAAACAAAACAATAAAATATACTATATTATATAGCAAAAGTATAAATAAGACATCAAATTGAACAGGATATTTTTTCACAGGTAAGTTACAACTACCACTTTAAATAAAGTCATCATCATCATGTAGCACGTCCTTTGCAGAACGTCGCTCTCATCACAATCTGCCTGAAAGAAACTCGGTCTCTCGCCAGTTCCCCTGCCTCATGTACTTTCATACTCAAGGAGTCACTTATATCCTGTGCCCATCTTCGTGTCAGTCGGCCCCTGCCCCTCCTTCCTGGCACCATGCCTTCTGCTATAATTTTTTTTCCAATCTGTCGTGGCGCTTGAAATGACCAGAATATTTCAGCTTCCAAGACAGAATGCTGTTTATTATTAACTAATCTTCCTAATAAATATTGTTACTTTTAAATTCCCCCCACTTTAAAAAAAAAATATGTTTACTCCATTACTTTTCTCTTGTATAACGTGCTTTTTTTTTAAAGTAAAATAATCTGCCATTTTGTATTTTATTTAAGAATTGTTTCATTTATAATATTTTGCAATAGGTTCAGGTTATGTTTTTCAAATCTATTTTCTAATTTTATATTTCAATATCGTTTTTCTTTTTTTTCTCTTCTTCCTTTAATTTCTATTAGATCTAAGCTATTTTCTATTTTGTTCAAATGTAACAGAGTCCCTACCTAAATTGCGTTCCATTGTTGGGCTGTTGAAACAACAGGCTCATATTGGCCTTCACCCTTGTTTTTGGAACCTTTTCACTAAGCTTAGTGACCGACTAAAAGTACATGGTGTCCTTGGCTCCCCGAGACTTCCAGCAGTTTGGCTAGACATCACGTGACTCTCCCTCCCAGCACCGCAAAAACAAAATGTTGTCCACATTTTTGAAATACCTTTACTAGTCCTGTTTGTTGAAAACACAATAGAGCTAGCAAAACATGTTGCTGGAAGCTTCTGGCAGCGAGCTAGTGGCACCTATATAAGCGAATGCCCGGACCCCTTAAAAAAAGAGGAGGACCGGCCAGCATAGCGAGAAGGAGGGCAGGCCAGAGTAGAATAGAAATAGTGGGCAGGAGACTTAGAACCCATAGATAAACGTTAGGGGCTGATTCAATATACATATTTCAATATACAGTTGTTGCGAAAGTTGCCATTTTCTTTTGTAAAATTCAAAATTAAATAAAGGAACTTTTGAACTACAAGAAAGCCTAAATGATTTCAGTAAAAAATATGTTAGACGACGTAGAGTTTTGTACGATCTGATGGTGGTGATGATAGATGACCAAGGACGAGAGGAGGTATATCGTTTGAGGCGAGTCGACTTTGGAGTAATTGCTCAGCCGCCACTGGAACCGGGACTGGAGGAGGATTCAGGTGTGGACACAGAGGAGGAGGTCAGTGAAGAGGAGAAGAAGAAGGAGTACAACAGTAATGAACCACACCTCCCCGACCAAGCCTTACTGAGATGTTTTTTTAAAACTGTGTCTGAGTTGCCAGATTAACCAAGGAGAGGGAAGTTATGCCCACTAGCTGACTGCACTAGCATCATAGTGTAATTTCAATAAAAGAAGACGATAAAAGTAGACTCTGTTTCACAAAATCATGCAGATATCTGTACAGGCGGTGGCATCGGTGGAAGGAAATTGGGGTCATGTTGTGAGCATATCTGTTTCAGCCCTGCTTCGAATCGGTTCCATGGCCTCGAGAATGGACTTGGTCTTTCGCTAATTTCACCAGCTGACGCCTGCAAAATTTTAAACTGTAGTTAGATACAAATTGAAACAAATGGTACAATTTTATAAAATTTTTAGATAATTTTTCAGAACAGCATTTCTTGTATTTGATTTTCAAAATGATTTACTAACATGAAGAACAACACAGAATCTGAATTTTGTTGTTCTGAAGATTTTGAGATCTTCATAGATTAGTATTTTCTGTTCCACTTCCGGATTGCTTACTGCAAGTATGAGAATCACTCACAAGTAAATTCAAGAAACATTTTCAATGTTGAATAAAGAATTGACATCACAGCACTCGGGACACTCCTATAAGTGCTCCGTCCCCCATCTTCAGCAGCAAGTGAAGAGTTAATTCCGATGGTTCCAATAACCATCTGATTGTACACCTGTCTTGCCGTTCTCTTGAGTGGTGAGCGTCGGCCAGATCTCCCATTAACTCCCCACAGCCCCATTTTCTTCAGACCATGATCAGTTTGTGCCTCTGCACTGTTCACTTGCCCCCAAAGGGCCCTCACAAAATCTGGCTTGTCATACATCAATTCATTAAACAGTGCAGAACTGGCCAGTCTATCTACCTGTTCATTTAACATGTAACACAGATATATTAGGGCACCATTTCAGTTACTGCTACACTAGATCTCAGCTCAGTAGCACGTTCCCTGTTGCTCCAGCAAGTCCAAGACAATGAGCACCCTGTTGGAAAAAGGTATTAAACAATGACAAAAGTGCAGAAACTGGTTGCAGGGTAGAGAAAGAAAACATGCCAGTCAGCTCCTGCTGGGTACGGTGACCATGGAGACACTGAGATGGCTGTTGCATCGAAGGATGGAGCACAAACAACAAGTACAGACAAGTAACAAATTACCCTTACAGTTACAAAATAGTCGGCAGTCCAATTTGGGGATGGGAGTAAGTCAAGATCTTCATAAAGCTGTTTCTTACTTTTTCCTGCTAACTCCTAATATTTTCAGTTTCTTATTTTCTTCTTCTTTTTAACAGGATTTCATACAAATTCTTCTTCTTTAGTCTCACACACACACCCCCCCCCCCCCCCCCCCCCCCCCCCCCCCCCCCCCCCCCCAACTAGATGTTTATTAAACTAACTCTTCATTAGATCCTCATATAGCTTGCATCACTTGATAAGGCCCCAATCAAGAGCATATTATAGATCTTCTGTCCAGGAGATTCAGATGTGTGAGGCAACAAGCAGGCTGATAGATTGGCTGCTGCCGCACCTCTGGGCAGTGAGCTGCTGTATGATAAAGCTGATGTGCGGAAGGCTCTAGGGAATAATCAGATGGACAGTGCAAAAGAACAGATGGGGAATTCATACACTGAAAGGCTAATTCAACAAAGGAAAAGGGGAGGGAGGGAGGGGAGTGAGTAGAGGTTCTTGAAGATTTTCAACACTGAAGAGGAAACAAAGGTGGACTTTCAATCATGTTGCAACTGGTTCTATAAGCATGTACATTTTTCATTGGTTACCAAAAAAGGGGAGGGAGCAAGTGTGGGAAAGCCCCAAGTGCAGGGAAGTCAGTTCTTGATTTCATTCATTCATTCATAGTTTGTACTTCTTTCTTGAGATATTCATATAACATCTTTTTCTTTTCCTCTGTCTTGTCTTTTTCAATTTCTTTCTGAGATCTTCAAGCAGATGCTGCTGCTTGTCCTTTTTTTTTTTAATTGATGGATGATGTGGCTAATACCACACCAGCCGTTTTTGCTTTTCATTTTCATTAAATTTACTGGGAGTGGTGAACCTGTATGATAGACTAAGTGGGAGGTGAAGCTGTTTGACAGATTGCGTAAATGGTAAACCTGTTTGACAGACTAGTTGTGTGGGGAAACTGTTTGACTAAGTGTGTGATGAACCTTTTTAACAAAGTGTGTGGTGAACCTGTTTGACAAAGTGTACAGTGAACCTGTTTAACAGACTAAGTAAGAAGTTAATAACAGACTAAGTGTTTGACATATGAGGTATTCGACAAAGCTGTTTGACAGTCTAGATGTATGGTAAAACTGTTGTGCAGACTAGATTATGACAAAGCTGTTGGATAGACTAGAAGTATGATAAAGCTGTTGCTAGACTAGATGAAGGATACAGTTATCTGACAGAGGAGATGTTTGATAAACCTGTTTTACAGGTGGCTGACCGTACATATGAAGTAATACATTTTATCTCCAAATTTTGACTGTTCCTGTTCGCTGTTCATTTAGCACATCATGCTGTTCTTGCTTTAAAAATTCTGGCAAGGAGGCAAGAAACAATGAAGAAAATGGTTCACCATCTCATCATCATCATGTAGCAGGTCGTTTGTAGAACGTCGCTTTCATCACGGTTCACCTGAAAGAATCTTGGTCTCTCCCCAGCTCTCCTGTCCCATGTACTTTCATCTTCAAGAAGTCACTTATATACCCAACATTAAGCTACAAGTGCCAAACATGGACACTATCTAAAGCCCATATACGCAAAATTACCACCAGCGAGATGAGGTGCCTGAGAAAAGCAGCCAACCTAACCATCCAAGATCGAGTGAATAAAGAAATTATCAGGCAAATTGTAGGAACAACACCTTGTACTAGATTCATCGAGAAACAGCAGATCAAGTGGTTTGGCCATCTCGTTAGAATGCAGCAAGATCAAATACCATCATAAGCACTACATCTCAGAAGATCAACTACAAGAGCAAGAGGACGGTCGCGGAAAACATGGATCGACAACATTAAAGACACTCTACGCCTTCACGGCATGACAATAGCCAGTGGTAGCCAACGTGCACTGGATCGCAAATTATTCCTCCCCACGACGCTTAACTGCAGAAGTGGTTCATGATGATGATGATGACGACTTATATCCTGTGCCTATCTTCATGTTGGTCGGCTCCTGCCCCTCATTCCTGGTAGCATGCATTCTGTTATTTTTTTCCCAATCTGCTATAGTTCATAATTTACACAAACACATGCACAATTGAAACACCACAAACATACTGAAGTTTTATTCAAAGCTACGCTTTCGTTAAAGCTTGAAGAACGTGATGCTTGGCAACTTCTTGCTCGTCTCAAGGTCTTGCTGCCAGTTCTTTGGGCTGGAGTACCAATATGTGGCTGACCTGAAGAAAATAAAATATATGGCATTCCATAAGTTTTCACAGGAACAATAAACCGATCTGATGACTGATCAGCACATTTCCGTTTTTCCAGATGATAGTATTATACTGTGCTATGAAGAGGCATGGGACTCACAGCCCATTAAGTAACTTACTCCATCTCCATGTGGGATGAATTTTTTTTATATTTAGAAGCCACACCCTTGTTGTTGCCAGGGGTCCTTATATAACCTAACAGTTAAGTGAGGGGTTCTGGGACCTCTTCTCAGGTGATCCTCTCCCAAATGGTGGCACTTTATGTCACTGGGTGTTTGTCACTCGGTGTGATGTCCTGGTGGGGTAAAAAGTCAGTCAATCACAGCCCATGGCAGTGGCGCGGTGATTTATGTCACAGGCGTGAGGGGAAGTTATGTCCAACATGATGTGTATAAGGAGATACTCCGTACGTCACTCGGGCGCCAGTCCTTTACTATCCTGGTTGTACGGAACCTCACGCAAGACCCCTACAGCACGTCCTCGTCGTGCGCCACGGATAATGTCTCAAATGAGCATTAACAGAGCTGTCAGGGGATCTCGGAGTTTGGCGGCCCCCAGAGGTGATGAGTCCTTGTGGCTCTCATCAGCCCGCCCCCAAACGCTTGGGTGAAAAATGTTATCAAAACTCATTAGGAACATGAGTAGGTTCGACAAAAGTACAGCTAAAATCACAACCCTTGGTTAAAAGACTGCTGAGTAAAGAGAACATTGCTCAATGCTCATCCTCGGTTAATTCTCAGTGTCGTCGTCACCGCGCTGAGGTGCACCACAACAGAAACCATACATGGGCTGGCCATCCTTGTGCATCCTCGGTTGGCCCTCAGTGTCGTCGTCACCGCGCTGAGGTGCACCACAACAGCAACCATCCATAGGCTGGCCAGTCACGTACATCCTCGGTTAACCCTCAGTGTCGTCGTCACCGCGCTGTGGTACACCACAACAGCAACCATCCATCGGATGGCTAAGCCTAAATGTCCAACAAAACTAGATCATACGGATCAAAATCTGACCATCAAAATTTGCACTGAAATGCAAAAGGCCGAATGTCCACACCCAAAGACCCCACTCGCCCGAGTGTTGGGACAAAACTGATAACGATATGCCTGATTCAGGATGTGAAATTCTGCCGGGCAAATGTACCTATCTGTGTGGTCACAAAAGTCCAAAACCAACGGGCTGCTCCCCACTGACTTCCAGAGGGCGCAGCCCCTGTCGAGCGGGAGGCCTGATAGGGTTGTGAGGTTAAGCAGGCATGTGCAGGACGTGACGATTCCTTGGGTGAGCCCAGAACCAGAGCGCCATGTGCCGGCTCTGCATGCATGGAAGCCTCCTTGGATGGCGGGGAATGCCCATGATCTGCCCCTGCCTTCCCTTGAGGGCCAACTGTTCCACAGGGGGTTGCCCCAAAGGGGTTCTCCGGGGGCAATACCTGCGGCGAAGGAGACAACGCGGACACCACACAAATCAGGCAGTCTCGACCCACACAAAACAATGGCCACAGTCACCCTAGAAATAGGCCTGACGTCTTCCTTCGAAGTCGGTGTACAGCTGCCCAAGAGGCAGGGAAATAAAAAACGGTTGTACACGCAAAAATCAGGTCCAGGTGAAGGCCAAAAGTCCAAGCGGACGATTAACCGGGACCTTCCACTGGAATTCACAGCCGGTGTTCGATGGGGAAAAAAAAAAGAAAAAACAGCCCATGGCAAGTCGAGTGTAACTAGCAAGACCCGCCCGTGTTAATAAAGTCTTGCACAATTATAGCATGGGATTTCAGGACTGTTGTCAACATTTATATTTAGTGTGTTTCTTCTTAGATGCTCAGCTCCCATCCTTTCTGCAATTATTTCTTCCTTCATTTATTTCTTCCTTCATTCACATTCCCTTTTTGATGTGCCCCCTCCACACAACATGGTCCATGGCATTTTGCAAGTGATCTGTGACTACAAGTGATCTGTGACTACAAGTGATCTGTGACTACAAGTGATCTGTGACTACAAGTGATCTGTGACTACAAGTGATCTGTGACTACAAGTGATCTGTGACTACAAGTGATCTGTGACTACAAGTGATCTGTGACTACAAGTGATCTGTGACTGCAAGTGATCTGTGACTGCAAGTGATCTGTGACTGCAAGTGATCTGTGACTGCAAGTGATCTGTGACTGCAAGTGATCTGTGACTACAAGTGATCTGTGACTGCAAGTGATCTGTGACTACAAGTGATCTGTGACTACAAGTGATCTGTGACTACAAGTGATCTGTGACTACAAGTGATCTGTGACTGCAAGTGATCTGCGACTGCAAGTGATCTGTGACTACAAGTGATCTGTGATTGCAAGTGATCAGCGACTGCAAGTGATCTGCGACTGCAAGTGATCTGTGACTGCAAGTGATCTGCGACCGCAAGTGATCTGCGACCGCAAGTGATCTGTGACTGCAAGTGATCTGTGACCGCAAGTGATCTGCGACCGCAAGTGATCTGTGACTGCAAGTGTTCTGTGACTACAAGTGATCTGTGACCACAAGTGATCTGTGACTTAAAGTGATCTGTCACTACAAGTGATCTGTGACTACAAGTGGTCTGTGACTTCAAGTGATCTGTGACTTTGAGTGATCTGTAACTACAAGTGATCTATGTCATGATCTGTGTGTGACTACAAGGGAATTCTAAAACCAAGTCTCACATTTCTCATTTGGTTCCAATGCCCTATTCTGTGGGGGAAAAAGGGTGGGGGAGGGGGGGGGGAGGGGGTGGGGGAAGGTATAGTGGCTGCTCAGATAATTCTCTTATTTCTTCAATCCTCTTGAATTCACACTATTTTATGTTCATTTTCGTTGTGGTCATAGTGCATACAAATAAGCCAGATGTGTAAGACAAATGTGCACACAAAACTCCAGTTATGGAACATGATCAAGATTCAGAAATGGAGGAGCAACCAGAACTTTCTTGCTGAGTTTAAAGCCGGTTAAACCTAAAAAGAAGAAGAAAAAGATGTGAAATACTTTCTGGGCGCATCTGTTTTGTTAATACATTAAACTTTTGTTCCATGTCATAGTGGTTCTCCAAATTTTTGTGGTATATTTGAAAACAAAATTTTTAGAACTGAAAATATGTAACCTGGTTTTTGAAACCATACAATTTAAAATACCCATGCAAACCACAGTTAACTAATATACTTGCCAGGAAGTGGATCAGGCCTAACTGTCTGGGTTCGAGACATGGCGGCTGTAGGTACTGTTATCATTCCCAGATGGAGTGGCCGTGCTTGATTTGTATGTGGATGGGTGATGAGTGATGGGTTATTTCGTGTTGGATGTTTTGAATTAAATAAACTTGGTGGCTGTCTCTTCTCTCTGTGAATAATAAAGCAACAATTCAGTTCAATATTTGTAGCAGACTTTTAGGCAAAGACGTGT